TCACGACACTCCAGGAGAAGATTGACCGAGTTGCTGGGGAGAGCCCGGAGGAATCTTCGCCTGAGGAGGAGACCTCTGCTGAGAAAGTTGCGGATGACAGTGATGATGATGAGAAGGAGAAAAGCAAACATTTGGAGACACGTAAAATTGGAGTAATCCCCGAGGAAGGAGTTTGGTCATCTCAGACGTGGCGTGGGCTTCTCTACAGCTCTCGAGACCTGTCCTGAGAGGCCTTAATGCATTGGGTTTCGCAGAGCCTACACCAGTGCAAAGGGACGTGATACCAGTCGCTCTTAGAAGCCAGGATGTACTCTAGTTGCTCTGGGATTACGAGGGAGGGAAGTCTTGCCCGTGTGTAGATATTGGCGATGGCCGAGACGGGTAGTGGTAAGACTGGAGGCTTTCTTCTCCCGATTGTGGAACGACTGTGCCAAGCTAGTCACGTAATAGTCTCCATCCGGACCTGTTTTGTATCTTTAAAGATACCCCTTAGGTCCGCTCTCGCCGTAAAGATCCCCACACTGGTCGTATCACTGGTGGTCGAGCGGCGACCAAGGCTCTTGTTTTACTGCCCACACGAGAACTCGCGGTACAGTGCTACAAGATGCTTCGGGACTTCACCAAGTAGGTGAATATGAAGTTACTTTCGCAGCCCAAAGTCCCTTCTTAGGTTTGCCCCTTTAACCTCGTGCTTAGTGGTAGGGGGGTTCGATGCCCAGAAGCAGGCCTCGGAAATGCGAGCTCAGCCGGACGTTGTGTTGGCCACGCCTGGCAGGGTATTGGACTTGGTAGTAATGGACAAGCGGATGAGGCAGGTTACTCGTTGTTTGATTCAGCTCTTGAATTCGCCAAATATTCATCTGGAGATGTGTGAGATAGTCGTCTTGGATGAATGTGACCGCCTGTTGGAGATGGGCTTCCGCGACGAGTGCTTGACGGTACTAGGAGGGGGTCTACTGTTGTCTTTCATGATGTACATGGCGATGTGCTCGGCGGGGATCGATCTCACGACCTCTGGGTCATCGCCGCCGCGCTCAACCATTCGACTATTGGGTTTGTGGCAGATTATTCAGAAGCACTGCAATCGGTCTCGCCAAACCATGATGTTCAGCGCTACCATGAATCAAGAGGTGATGCCTGATAACCTCATCTGAGTGGACCTCTGCATTGTAGGTGCTGAAGCTGGCCAAGGTGGTACTGTCCAAGCCTGTCACTATTGAGACCACTAAGGCTAATCGAGTGTCTCCTACGCTCACACAGGAATTCGTAAGAGATTTCTGAGAACCCGTGGTGTCGTAGTCGTCCTTCAGATCAGAGTCACTTCAGAGCAACAACGAGAAGCCACACTGCTTGCTGCTTGCACGAAACACTTTCCGTAATTGTCGATCTTTAGCGGAGCGAAGCGGAGATTTTTCGTTTTATAGGAAGCGCTGTCTGATCTTCTGCGCACAGAAGAAGACGGCTCATCGTATGGCGGTCCTCTTGGGTCTAGTAGGAAAGGTTAAGTTTGCGGAGCTCCACGGCAACCTCAGCCAGCAACAACGAGTCAAGGCTCTTGCTGATTTCGAGTCGGGTGAGTCAGAATTGTCGGGTACATTCTTAGCGGAGCGAAGCTCTTACATACAGGCAAAGCAACTCACCTTATCTGTACTGATTTGGCGGCGAGAGGGCTGGACCTCCCCCATGTCGAGACGGTCATCAACTTTGAGCTCCCTCCAGATGTTACAAAATACGTCCATCGTGTTGGCAGGTG